CTACCCCACAAGATGCTGCATGGATCAAAACAAGATAAGACTAAAGGCCTTTAGGATCCAGGAAGGTTCCGTCTGCTTACTGTCATCTCCCAGAGCTGCACTCAGCAATGGGAGGGAATCTGGGTCTCGTGCCACAGATTTCATCAGGGGCCTTTTCATAAGCCTTTGAAGTAGAATTACAATACTCCTCTTCCCATTTGACTGTTGAGGAACCAGGCTTAGAGAGGTTAAGTGACTCTTCCACATAGTACATGGGAAGCCACTTCCAACCCAGTCTGGAAGTGGATTGAGGACCCAAGTCCTCAACGTTTAGGTTAATGCTAAAAGTATTTCCCAAGGCTCGGTATTTGAATACGTTTTGAAGGTGGATGGATGGATGACCTTTTAAAAAGTTTTAGGGTTGGGCGTGGTGGCTCACCCTGTAATCCCAACACTTTGGGAGGTGGAGGAAGGCAGATCACCAGAGATCAGGAGTTCGAGACCAGCCTGGCCAACACAGTGAAATCCCATCTCTACTAAAAATACAAAAAATTAGCTGTGTGTGGTGGCACATGCCTGTAATCCCAGCTACTCAGGGGGCTGAGGCAGGAGAATAGCTTGAACCTGGGAGGTGGAGGTTTTGGTGAGCCAAGATCAGGCAACTGCACTGTAGCCTGGGAGACACAGTGAGACTCTGTCTCAAAAATAAAATAATAAAATAAAATAAAATAAAAAAGTTTTAGGCCCAGCATGGTGGCTCATGCTTGTAATCTCAGCACTTTGGGAGGTTGAGGTAGGAGGATCACTTGAGGCCAGGGGTTGGACACCAGTCCAGTTCCCAAAGTGAGATCCCGTCTCTATAAAAAATAAAAAAATTAGCCAGGTGTGGTAGTGCACACCTGTAGTCACAGCTATTTGGAGGAGGAAGTGGGAGGATCACTTGAGCCCAGGAGTTCCAGGCTTCAGTGAGCTGTGACTGCACCACTGCATTCCAACCTGGGCAACAGAGTAAGACTCTGTCCCAAAAAGAAAAAAATAATAATAAGATAAAATAAATTAAAATAAAAAGTTTTAGTAGTGATGCATTTATTTAAATGTTCATTAAGAAAATACTGGTTTTCCATGTGGAGTAGTGATTTAAAGTTTTCTTTTTAAAAATACATGCATTAAAAAACTTCAAGGCTGAAATGGCTGGAGGAAAAACACAAGTAAATAATCCTACAGGTGGTATGAGGATCCGGCCAAAGCCGGAAGATGATAAGGAATGAAGTTTGGAAAATTTACATGCTGCCTGGGGGCAAACCAGTGGATTCGGTAAATCTTTGTGGGTTCTGTTCCTGTGAGCAGCTCAACTCTTTCTTCCCCCTGTCCTCCTGTCACTTCCCTCTTCCTATGCCACTGTCACTTTTGCTGAACTCTCAGGTCACTCACCAGAAGCCCACCGCGTTCTTCCAATGCGCACTCTGACGGTCCAACAGAGGGAGCCGGGGCTCCGGGACGGTCTCCTCCCCTGGGAGAGTGAGAAGAGAGCATGACCCCCACCCACTCTCAGGCACACGACGGCCCCATGCGTGTCCTCCCGGGGCCGAGTCAGCTGTCACTCCCCTCGGGTGGGCTGCGAGCCAGAGGTGGTCGCTCCCAGGAGGGTGGGCAGGAATACTCACCCTCGGAATCCGAAAGGCGCCGTCGCGAGCCCGCACAGCCTCCCATGGCATCAAGTTCAGGTCCCCCAAGGGTCCAGGGTCACAAAGTGTCCAGAGGGGGCTCCCACGGGAGGGATGAGGGTCTGTGACAGGCGACAAGGATCAACGTCCGATTGTCGGTCCCAGCTCTGGCTTGTCTGCGGCGCTCGCGCCCCGTGATCCATCAGGAAAGCCCAGGACTCCATCTCGCGCGCCCCACGACCCACTACGACCCACCACGCCCCACCCATCGGACTCTGCCCCCGCCCCGTCTACAGGAGGGACCCTGCGGCCTGTACCTTTAAGAGCAGCAGAACGTGCGGCACAGTGAAGAGGCAGGTTGTCGGGTCACGTGACAGCACCCGCGGGTTCCCCCATCACGTGCTCGGAGGTCCTCCCTACTTCCGGGTCCTCTCTGTCTTCGCTTTGGGCCTTCTCAGCTTTGGAGCGTGAGAAAGGGAGAAGCCGGAGAACCTTGGAACAGTAGGTTTTAAACTGGAGCCGGTGGGAGCAGCAAGTAGAGCCATGACCTTAGATCAATGGCGCCCAAGACCGAGACGGTATCCTGCCAGCACTAGTCGTGGCTGCGGAGGCTTCAGCTCCTTTTCCTTCAGTACTCACTTGCCAGAAACAAATATGACCACCCGCCTACTCCTCCCCCCGCCCTTCCTTTTTTTTTAGGCAGGTCTGTTTCTGTTGCGAACAAAGACGACCAGCGTCAGATCATTCTTACTCCCATCTGTTGCCCTTACAAATTATTTTAGAGACCTAAATAAACATAACATCCACCTAAGGGGTTTTCATGAATTATCTATTGACAGTATCCAAGATGTTAAGAGATTCCCTTTTCCAAATTATCCTAGAACCAAAAAATATCACGGCGGTTCAACCCCCGGTGCTACAGATGAGAAAACCAAGGTACATATATGTATATATATATACACACACATACATGTACAACAAAAATTAGCTGGGCATGGTGGCGCATGCCTGTAGTCGTAGATACCTTGGAGGCTGAGGTGGGAGGATCACTGTCCCTAGGAGATTGAAGCTACAGTGAGCTATGATCCCGCCACTGCACTCCAGCCTGGGCGACAGAGATCCTGTCCAAAAAAAAGAAAAATGTAAAAAGAAAAGAAGATATACATATATATATATATATATATATATGAAAAAATTGGAAAGTTGCTGATAATCATACAATGTTAGACCTAAAGGTGACCTTAGAGACCTGTATGGTGATAAGAAATAGAGCACCAGAGGCAGGGAGCCATTGGGTTGGCTGTAGGCTGCTGCAGGATTCCTGCCTCCATCAAAGTTGGTGCTTCGACCCGATTTTTTTCTTTTTTTAGCACAGAGTCTTGCTCTGCTGCCCAGGCTGGAGGGCAGTGTCAGGATCTTGGTTTGCTGCAACTTTGACCTCCCAGGCTTAGGCAATCCTTCCACCTCAGCATCCCGAGTAGCTGCGACAGCAGGTGCACAGCACTGTGCCCAGCTGATTTTTGTACTTTTTGTAGAGACAGGATTTTGCCATGTTGCCCGGGCTGGCCTCAAACTCCTGGGCTCAAGCAATCCACCTGCCTCAGCCTCCCAATGTGCGGTGACTACAGGTGTGAGCCACCGCGCTCCGCCAGACTAAATTATTTTAATTACGGCCCAAGATTCTGATTCTGTGATTTCATCCAACTGCCCTAATTGGAATAGGAAAGTGGGGCTTGGGAGGAGAGAAGGAGGGTATGGGAAGAGATAGAGCTAAGTTACTTTGTGTGGTTCCAAATAAGGAGTCATACCCTTACCTCCCTCTAGGTGGGGAGCGGCATCCTGCGTTCCCTTGTCCTTGGCCTCATCTCCGCTGTGCGCTGTGTCACCTCTATCTGCTCTTTCTTACCACCATGTCTTCAGAATGCTGTTTGAAATGTGTCCTCTGGCGGGAAGAGGTGGCTCATGCCTGTAATCCCTGCACTTTGGGAGGCCAAAGTGGGCTGATCACCTGAGAGCAAGAGTTCAAGACCAGCCTGGCCAAGGTGGTGAAAACCCCGTTTATACTAAAGATACAAAAATTATCCAAGCGTGGTGACGCACACCTGTAATCCCAGCTACTTGGGAGGCTGAGGCAGGAGAATCATTTGAATCTGGGAGGCACAGCCAAGATCTCACCACTGCATTCCAGCCTGGGTGACAGAATGAGACTCAGTCTCAAAAAATCAAAAGTAGCTGGGCGTGGTGGCTCAAGCCTGTAATCCCAGCACTTTGGGAGGCCGAGGCGGGTGGATCATGAGGTCAAGAGATCGAGACCATCCTGGTCAACATGGTGAAACCCCGTCTCTACTAAAAATGCAAAAAATTAGCTGGGCATGGTGGTGCATGCCTGTAATCCCAGCTACTCAGGAGGCTGAGGCAGGAGAATTGCCTGAACCCAGGAGGCGGAGGTTGCGGTGAGCCGAGATCGCGCCATTGCACTCCAGCCTGGGTAACATGAGTGAAACTCCGTCTCAAAAAAAAAAAAAAATCAAAAGTAAAATAAAAAAGAAAAATGTGACCCCCTCCCCTTTAGGGTAAAAAAAAAAATTCCTGAGGCAGCGGGGAGCGGTGGGTCACACCTATAATCACAGCACTTTGGGAGGCCTGCCTCTGGGACTCCAAAGGCCAGGCAGGGAGGGGAGGAGGCCTCCCACATCACTCAACTGATGGAAAGTGGAATCCTATTACCTGTGCAGGGCTCTAGAAATGCAGCAGCGTTTCATACGTGGCATCTGCCATCAAGGAAGTCACAGGACGGTGGGAGGAAGACACAGATAAGGCTACAGTACAAAGTTTAGCCAAGTTCTCTCTTGTGAGGCTAATCATAGATGAGGGGTTGTGCACTGGAGCCACCAATCCAGCCCCTTCCGCCTCTCAGGGAAGCAGCAATGACAGTGAAATGTGTCAGAGCTCCCAACAGCACCCTCGTCACTGCTGCTCTTACTCCTCAGGCAAAACAGGAACCACAAACCCCAGCTTCCTCTCGCAGAGGGTCTGCGGCTTGTAGGGGAGACGGAAATGGCTGAGGTGTGGATACAAGACCTGAGTCACTTGAGCTGCCATTGCCACATGTCCCCTCCCTCCCCCTTCCCCACCCCCAGCTCTAAGGACTCCTGTTTCCACCTTGTCCTTTCCGGCCTCTCCCTTGCCCTTTATTTCCAAACGAGCGCCTGAGACCCTGTGTGATGTTCACCCATTTCCAAGGCTGCAGTGGGAGTTGCTGTGGGCATCGGGGGCCAGGGGCAGGGCCCAGGGTGGGGACGTGTCAGGGAGACACAGGGGAAGAGGAAGTGTCTTGCGTCCTGGGGAAGACTGGCTTGTCTTGGTGGGTGGGGACAGTCATTATCAACTTTCTGGACACACGGACAGAGACAGACAGGATGGACTTTCTCCGGCTACACCTCCCTGGGCTGCACCAGGCCTTGAGGGGGGCACTGGTGAGAGGGGCAAAGAGCTGCCCGAGACTTGCACCCCGTTTCCTGGGGCCTCACCTCTGGGCACCTCCCCTGGGGCCTTACCTTTCCCCTCCTCCCTTTGGTCTCCTCAGACTGGAGATTGCTTTCTTGGGATCAGGCTCCAGCCTAACCGTTTCTAAATTTCAGTCCCCACCCCCACACCAGCATCCTCACACCCCTAATCCACGCCCTTTCTGACTACTTCTGCAAATCCTCTTCTCCTCCCAGATCCCAGGACCCTCTTCCTTAACCTGGACTCCTCCAGCCAGGGCCCCCTGGGAAAGCGCTGGGACTCCCCTTAATGCCTCTCCCCTCCCTCTTTTTTTCTAGGATTCCCTCGGCACCTTTGTCGCCTACCTCTTGGGAGACGCAGTCCCCACTGTAGAGCCGGAGGCGCGGGCAGCTGAGGAACTGGGGGCGGTGGCAGTGGGAAGGACAGGGAAGGTTGTAGAGGAGGAAGCCCAGGAGGCCCTGGAGGGCCGGAGAGGTGGCCAAAGCCAGGGGGCTGGACGGCTGAGAGGGCCTGGGGAGGACGGAAGACGTGAAGCCGGGAGCTCAGCTGCAGAACAGACCTGGAGCTGGGGAGATGGCAGCTCCCATGGGTCCCAAGCAGAGAGGCAGGACAGTGGGGCTGGGGAGGCAGCCAAGGCAGCCAGGTGCCAGGAGCCAAGTGCCCCCTTGGAGGCCAGAAAGAAGTCCAAGGTAGGGTCTAGGGCTTGCCAAGACAGGAGCGGCCAGGCCCAGGAGAGGCAGGAGCCCGATGAGCAGGAAGTGAACAGAGAGGAGAGGCTGAGAACCTGGGAACAGGAGGAGGAGGAGGAGGAGGAGGAAGAGGTCAGGGCAAGACAGCCAGGGATGGCCAGAGGGGTGGAGTCAGAGTGGACCTGGCACAGGGAGTGGGAGGGGAAGGCTGGTGCTTGCGGGACAAAGGCGGCAGGGGACGACCTGGATACTGAGCAGGGGATCAGGGAGGCAGATGCCGAGGAAACTGAGGGACCCGGGGCTGAATGGGCTGGGAAGGGAGAAGAGGTTGTGGTGGTGGAGGAGGCCAGTGAAAGCAGAAAGGCACAGGTGACACGGGGCCCAGGGGCAGAGTCTGAGGACTGGACAGCCTTAGGCAGAGAGGAGGCTAGGACAACTCCAGGTAGGGAGGAGGCCAGGATAATTTTAGATGGGGAGGAAGCCAGGACAGCCTCAGGCCAGGAGGAGGCTGGGACAACCTCAGGCAGGGAGGAGGCAGCCTCAGGAGTGGAGGAGGCCGGGACAGCCTCAGGAGGGGAGGAGGCAGCCTCAGGAGGGGAGGAGGC